AAAGGAGAAGAGGTGACAGCAGGGCCAGCCTACATACACACTGCTTCCTTCACATGGAGAGAAAGGAGTGTGGCACATTCCTGTTTCACATTTTGGAAATTTCTGGATTTTCTGAACATGTCAAACTTACTGCTGATGTGTCTTAGGATGCAGAACTCACGAGATGGAAGGACCATGCATGATTTGTGCTGCAGGCAGACCAGAGCTTGAAGAAGGGAGCTTCTTGGTTCTCCCTAGTTCAAGGAACTCTTGCTTTGCTTAGCCAGGACAACCAGAGATCCATGATGTTGCCACAGACAGGAGCTGTTCAGTCCTCTTCTACTGGGCCCTTCAGAATCCTGGAACCCCATTTCTGCACACCTGGAGGGTACAGACAACAGTCCAGGCCCAAGAGGACAGCAGGTACTGCTGCCCCCACATGGTCACACTGAGCACTGGGATGAAGAGAGTCTGCTCTTGCATCCAAACCTGGTGGCCCATAGGGTGTAGTCCTTACTCCTATCTCAGCACCTCTCAGTATAATGATGTGGCTGACTCAAGAGCCATCCGAGGGCTCCTTCCTTGGGGGTCTGGCCTGGATTTAGGTATGGGAGGCAGTTAGGGATTGGGTAAGTCCTAGTCATACCAGGAGAGTCAGCAAAGTGAAGGCTAGACAGACTGGTTAGATAAACCAAGAGAAGGCCTGAACCATGCTACCCTCTCTGGCCACTTCAGTCCAGCATGGAATATATAAGAGGAAGGGGGCCCCCTTTTCACCTGTATCTAGCTCTGTGTTTCTATAAAGCCTAAACTATGAATGACCTCTCCCTACCTCCTACACAAACAGCTTCCCACTTTAATTCTCTGCAGGCCTTGGGGTCATCCCTAGGCCACTCTGTCTCTCTGATCTCTGACGCTGGAGAACTTGCAACTTGCAGGGAGTCAGGGGCTGGGGGAACTTGAGGCTCCATTGTCCCCAAATCCTCAAATCCGGGCAGCTGAGGCCTCTCAGACCACTTAGAAAGGGAGAGGCATCACTCGACATTCCTGAGCTGCCATTGGGCCACTGCCAGGGTGTGTGGGTGTAGGAGGGGGAGGGAAGCCAGCCAAGTTGGGTATTTTTTTTTTTGAGGGGGGTAAACTTGAGATTTGAGGAGAGTCCCCTTGAACACCTTGAATGCAGACCCTCGCCTCTGTCCCTCTGGGTCCTTTATTGTTGGGAGCTTCTACCCAGGCCTCTTATTGGATGCCTTGAAATTGCCACCCCCTACAGAGCCACCAGCTACTGTCTTGGAGCCAAGGGATGTTTGTGCAGTGCCAGGGAGGCTCAGCAAGCCTGATAGGCAAGCAGTGGCTGTAAGAAAAAACTCCAGAGCTCAGGCAAAAGGGACTCAAGTCAGAGCTCTGGGGCTTGGCTTGAGTTACCAATCACATCATGAGCTTGGTTATTAGTTCGGGGTACAACTCTTCTGAGAATGGAGGAGCGGGGGCCATGGGCCCCACAGAATTATGTAAAGGCTGTTTGGAACCATTTAGGCCAGGAACCACAAGCCTATTGGCCACTATGGTGGAACAAGGCTCCTTAGAACACCTCTTGGTAAGAACGGGATGCATAGAAATGGACAGCAAACTCCGGGCGTGATGGTGCACGCCTTTAGTCCCAGCACTCGGGAGGCAGAGGCAGGTGGATCTCTTGTAGACAAGCCCAGTCTACAAGAGCTAGTTCCTGGAAAGCCTTCAAAGCCACAGAGAAACCCTGTCTCGAGAAAAAGAAAGAAAGAAAGAAAAGAAAGGAAGAAAAAGAAAGAAAGAAAGAAAGAAAGAAAGAAAGAAAGAAAGAAAGAAAGAAAGGGACAGCAAAAGTGAAAAGACCCCAGGTTACTATTAAGGGTGCAGATCAAAGCCCAGGGAGCAAACACCTCACATCTCTTAGAATGGTTACTACTAAAACCAATAAAATATATTTGGTCAGGAGGCAGAAAAGTTGGAACCCTGGGGCATTGTTGCTAGAACTTTAAAATGGTGCAGCCACCATGAAAAAATACAGAGAGTCCTCTAAAAAAAAAAAAAGGAACTACCATATGAGCCAACAAACTCACTTCTGGTTGTTTATTCAAAAGGACTCTAAGCAGGGCCTCCAAGAGATAGTTGCATACCCATCAACAGGTACCAGCAGCCCGAGTCTATCTCCAATGAATGGACAGACACAGCAGGGTGTGTCTGTCCATTGCTGAGCCTTAAGAAGGAAATCCTGCCATCTTACAACATGGATGGATATTGAGGGCATTACATAAAACAAGCCAGTCACAAGAAGATGAATATGCTATAATTCCATTTTTGGCAAGTCTCTAGGGGAGTTGGACTCACAGAGGCAGAAGGTGAAATGCTGGTCTCCACATTCTAGGGGCAGGGGAAATAGGGAGTTGTCTAATGAGCATAGCATTTCTTCTGCAAGTTGCAAAAGATATATAGGTTGGTTGGTTTCATGGCACTGTGAATACACCTAACACAGCTATAATTCTACACTGAAAAATGATAAGATTATATGTTTTACAACAGTAAGTGTGGTAGAGATTGTTCAGTGGGTAAAGCACTTGCTGTGCAAGTCCAATGACTTGAGTTAAGAGCCACAGAACTCGTATAAAGTTTGATCCCTGTGTTCGTAAGGGGATGGTGGGAGGCAGAGACTGGAGAATTCCCAGAAGCTAGCCTGGCCTCTGCAGCAATGGATGATAAAAGACTCTGCCTCGAACAAGGGGAAGGATGAGGTCCAACACACCACCAGAGATTGTCTTCTGACATGTGCACCATGGTCCATGTGCACTCACACACACACACACCACACACACACACACACACACACACACACACACACACACACACCTCACACACACCAAATGAATGCATGCATACATGAAAATTGTAGAGAAAAATCATAATCCCAACTCAGAAATGAGAAAAGCAACTTGCTCCCAGGTCACAGCCCTGGCAGGGTTCAAATCAGGGCAGGTTTGGCAGATGGTAAGTGAGATATCTCAGGTTGAGGCCCCAGGTAAATGTGCTTAGTCAGGTTCAATGCTTTCATGCCTAGAGGCCAGACTCAGTGCTAGCCAAGGAGGGCTCAAATGTTTCCTATGTGCCAACCATTCATAGAAGCCCAAGACGGTTATCTTGAAAATTTAAGAACAACTCTGTAGCTGATGGCAGTTAACCTCCCTAATCGGCTCCAAGATCCGGTAACACAGTCAACTCTAACAGGATATATATAGTACAGGAAACAAACCTAGGTTCAAACGCCAGTCCTATCTCAATCTGTTTCTTTTCTTTTGTTGTGTGTGGTGCTGAGGGTCAAACCCCAGGCCTTGAGCAGTCTACTTCTGATCTACACCCCTAGCCTTCTGCACCAATTACAGAGGCAAAGAACCTAAGCACACTTGGAGTGTTAGGTATAAAAAACAAAACAAAACACCAAGAGGTGGGGTAATACTGTAGGTCCCAGAGACTTAGGACCTCTGTGTGTGTGTGGGGGGTTGTTTGTTTGTTTATTTGTTTGTTTGGAACAGAGGACTTACCCAGAGCCTGTGCTTTGCTTGCAAGGCAAGCCTCTACCCTGAGCTAAACAAACCCCACCCTCAGGACCTTTGTGTTCTCCAGTGCCTCTATCCATTTACATGAAGGAGAACAGCATGTTTTAACGTTGCTAAGAGGCCGAAATAATGGGTTGAGAGAGGGCTGGGAGCTATGACTAGTGCTAAGCTATTAATTGCTGTTACCAAGGTGTGGCTGTGTTGATGGCCCCACCTGTGGTCTGATCTGGTCAATGCTTTGCAGCAGCAAGGCATGTAAGTCAGCAGAGGAAGGTCCTCCACAGGCCTCTGGAGTGCCTCCTGGTGTCTCTTTGGTCCTGCATATGGCTGAACCAAGAACACAGAAATTAGGGACTGATTAAGTCCAGGGCTCTGGTTTTCATCCTCCCCTGTCCCCAGGTGAAAAGGGTTGACATAGAGGATGCCATGGGGAATCTCATCCAGTACACCAAGTCCTTCCCTGACATTCTCCTCTGTCTTTACTTTCCTCCACCCAGTGACCTGGACGTGTTGCTAGTATGTTTATTATTGCCAGTGTCCAGCACAGAGACCACCCCTGTATTGGTTAAATGAATGAGTAGATGTGACAGGGGTCTGGTCAGCGACCAGCTGTCTATGGGGACTGGGAAGACTGAAAAGGATTGGAGCCATAATGGGGCAGGGAGGGGACGTGAGAACACAGAGGTGCAGTGGAGGAAGAAGCGTCCTGGGAACAGGCTACTGGCCAGAGAGCATGTGAAGGCAGAGGACCTTGACAGAGATCTGGCCAGCCCCCAGCTGATCTAACATCTGAGTTGCACCTGGGCCTCAGGCCAACAGACTTTCCGTGGGCTACCTACCTCTGACCTAACCCGGAATCTGTTGCATCCTTCTTTCAAGAAAGCACAAAGGCCTACAGGTGTGGCAGAGGCAGGAACCCCAGGACATCTCCTCAGTCCTACTTTGAGGTGTTTGAGGGCCCTGGTTATCCCCAACCTCTTTCAGCTTGTGCCTGCCATGCCTTGCTAAGAACCCATCTAAGACGGGGGCTAGGCAGTCCAGCACTTCTGTAGTCCCCATCTGTCCTACAGCAGGTAGCACCAATCAATCTTGCACTGTCCTGCCAAGCCCCGAGAAGATGAGATGCTTCGACTCCAGGTTTCTAATAGGCTGGGGGATCATCTCTGAGGGCTAGGGGATTCACAGGTCAGAACTGAACACACAAAGTGGAAAAACTCATTTCAATACCCCATAGCACCATGAAATACTAAGGACAACTCCAGCAGTCTTCCCAACAGCATGTAAGTGGTGGTAGCAGTGGGGGTGGTTTCAGGGTTTGGGTTTAATCCCAAGCACGAGGGCAGTCAGGAAAGGATTTGATTTCATTCCTTCAGATGCCCAAGCTCTGGCCAGAGCCCCAGGGCGCAAGAGTGAAGGCCACTGCTGCCTAGCCCCTACCAACAAAGCCTTCCTTTATTAAATAGAGATCGTGTTACATTCCACTTGAAGGAAATAGGGGCGTGGTGAGGGATATGTCCAGGTTGGATCCCCCAAGTGCAGTTCCTGGTGGGCTATGATGGATAAGGCAGGGTCCAGATCCTGGGTGGCCTGCCCACTCCATGCAGTCCCACATACAGGGTCCCTGTAGTCTGGATGGCTGCCCACAACTACATCCTGAGGTTCCCCTGGTGGCACACTTTAGGAAGAAAGAGCCCAGACCCCTGGCAATTTTAGGATCAGTGACTCCTGGAGATGGGGTTGAAGTAGGGAGGGAGGGGAACAGAGAGGCCTCTATGCAGAGAAATGGGGGGGGCGGTTATCTAGGACTCATTTTCAGAGCACTTTGTGGCAGTTGTCCCTCTGCCATGCTCAGATTGGAGACACTTGCCCTACCTCTGGAGCAATCTGAGGCCACTTGGGAACAGGGTGAGAGATGGCCACAAGGGGGTGCTGGTGACCCAGGGCTTAGAGGCTGTGGCAGAGCACACTCTGGAAATCCAGCCACCTTAGAACAGTCCCTTTCTGAAGACGTGGCAGCAACAGAGCATTGGTAAGCAGCAGGGAATTGTAGAGGGGGTACTGGCTGCTCAAGGGTCCCCTCTCTAGGGCTTAGCCTCTCCCGAGTATGGCTCCGAGCTCCTTGGTCTTTGGCGCTTTCTTGAGATTCTCTTGGTGGCTACAGAGTCCAGTGGGCAAGAGGGTCATCTCATGAAGTCCAGGGCAGGCTGTCCTTCTGTCTGTCCCAGGAGGAATGGGCGGGACTGGCTTAGTGCTGTCTCTACAGCCTGTCCTTTCAGCTTCTGGCTCAAGCTGGCTCCAGGATTTCTTGTCTGTCTGTCCCAAGGCAGCTGTTTGCTCTAGCTCAGAGCCTACTTCAGGCCTGGGGCCATGCCCTAGGCCTCTTGTGGGAAGAAGCCAAGCTTGGCTAGTGACATCCCCTTCCGAAGCCTCATAATCTCCCAGAACATCGGTTCAGCTGCAGACAGAGAGGATAGTTCATGGTCACTGCAGGCAACTGCCCTGGCTTTGGGCAGGGCAGTGTTCGAGCACCCCCTCTGTTCTCATCATGGGCTTAGAACTATGCTTTTCCAGTTGCAAATGTTTTTTCACCTTGACCCAGAGCAGTGAACAGGGTTCAGGGCATCAGTCCCCGTGTCTGGAGAAGGACCCAGGAGGCAGGGGAACCATGTTATGGTAGCCATGAAGAAATAGAGAAGAGTCACAGGACAGACCCATTATAAAGAACCTTGAATGTCAAAGCCAGTAACAGGAATGCTGTCTCTGCTGGCCCTAGGATTTCTAGGAGAAGAAAGAGCAGCATGACCCAGATACGTGGAAGGCACCAGGTTTGCTCTCCCAGTGAAGCAGAACCCATCACCAACGAGAAACAGGGATACTTTATTAATGTACAATGCTCCCTTTGGCTGGCCTTCTACTAGAAGGGACTCTATACTTTTGCCTCTGCAGCTGCCGGACAGGTAGGGTGCCTTCAGGCACTTAACCAGCCCCATTCTGCCCTATCTCCCTCCCTTGGGCACTATCCCAGAAAAGAACACATGGGGGCACTCACCATCCTGCCGAACCAAGCCTTGCTGGATATAGCGAATGTAGGTGAAGAAGTTGCACACTGCAGTGATCTGTAAGCAGAATGCAGAGGGTGTGACTCACTGATTTCCCATACTCTAGGGTCCCCTCCAAAAGCCAATGTAGACCCTATCTCAGGACAGTAAGTCCTAGGTACCTGGCAGAGCCAGGGTGTGCGCGCTCTGACTCTGCTAGAGCTCAGCTTCCAAGATTTAATTAACAGTAGCAAGACTCCCAGAGCTCCTTAGAGTAACTGCTGCAAGTGCCTGTAAGCAACACAGCAAGTAAGACACAGACACTCCCCATGCCCATTTTACCAGTGATCGAGACTGGTAAAGTGTGGACTTAGGAAGTGGTCAAGCTACAAAGCAATCAGGCAGCCTGCACCAGCATCCAAGCTTAGTCCCCTGTGGACCTGTTCCTTCTTAGCAGGAGGTCTGGGCCCACCAGACATAAGCTAGGTGCTGTGTGCAATTCCATGAAAGGCAATTAGAGTTGCTGTCCCAGGCTGCCTTGTTCCCAGGCTACCTGAGGACCCCACTATGGCTAGAGGCCTGTTCCTGTCAAGCTCTTATGACCCTTCACTGGCACAGCTCCAAAGACTCTACAGAGAGGAGGTGACTCTGTTGTTATCCTGCCCAGAGGCCATCCCCAGGTCTGGTCCAATCTCACTGCCTCTGAGGGTTTGGGCAACATTGAGCCCATGGTACCCTCCTTTGTGGAGGGAACACAGGCCAGCTCTTTGGCTAGGATGGAGGGAGATATGTGTTCAGGACTCCCTCTTGATCTAGCCAAAGCTCAGCCCTATCTTGGTTTGTCTCCTTTCCCTGCCTCATCCTGCTTCCCTCACTCCATTGAGAAGTTCCAAAAATGTCCACATAGGCTCTGCATCTTGAAACCAGCCAAGAAGGGTGGTAGCAGGCAGCTGGGCCCACAAGAGCCTCTACCCAGGATTCTGGGACAGGGAAGCCTGACATGTGAAGTACCCAGAGGCTGGTGAGTGAAAGAGACTGCAGGGAGGGGTGGTGCTCTTGCTAGGCTGCCAAACACATAGAACTTGCCAAGAGGCCAAAGAAGGTACAGGGAGCTGGAGTTGGGGGAAGGTTGCAAAGGCAGGGGTGGTGTGAGGAACTATAGGAGCATCAGCCATGTGTGGCTGAGCCTGGTGCTAGGAAGGAGAAACAAAGTGGGGGGAAGGGAGATGGCACAACTCTGATGCCAGGTGAGCAGCTGGCAGCAGGCAACCACAAGGGGCTCCTGAGCATGCAGTGGCAGAGTGGTAGAGTTTCTCCCTAAGGCTGCACTCTTTGTTAACACTTCATCCCTCTGTCTGTCCGAGCAAGGATCACATAGACCCTCCATTAGACCCTCCTTAGCTCTGATCTCTTCTGCTACACAGCTGTGCCCAGCAGAACCACACACCAAAGTCACAATAAAATAAAGTACTACATATAGTTAAGCAAGACACAAGGATGGCCCTTCTGTTGACCTGTGGGTTGGGCTAGGAAGGGATAAAGGAACTTGAGGTCACAGAACAAGGCTCTGGGCACCCAAAGGAGGAGCTGCAGACAGTTCAGTCTGAAGACTCCATGTCTGGGCTGTGCGGCCCTGTTTTTAAAGGCCATGTGGTAGAAGCTGAGGGTGTCCCCGGACTACAAGGACCATCGGGGACACGTGGAACTGAATTCTACCAACAGCTGCAGGAGCTTGGGAAGGACTCTGAACCCAGAAAAGAACCCACTTAGCTGAGCTCTGACTGCAGCTGGTAGGTCCCTGAGCTGAGTATGCCTGGGACATCAGTGTCCAGGCTCCTGGCCCAGGAGAAAGGTGGCAGAATATAACCACAGGACATGGTGGCTCATGCCTTTAAACCCAGCACTCGGGAGGAAGAAGTAGGAAGATCTTTCTAAAATTCAAGGTTAGCCTGGGCAAGTTCCAGAACAGTCAAAACTACACAGAAAGTCCCTATCCTGAAACAGAATAAAACAAAACAAACAAAGAGAGTATATTACCTTTTGGATGGGGATCTAGCCCATTAATAGAGTGCTTGCCTACCGTGCACAAAGCCCTGGGTTCAGTCTCCAACATGGTAAAAACCAGGCATGGTAGAGCACATCTGTAATACTAGTGCTTTGAAAGTGGAGGCAGGAGCATCAAAGTTTAAGGTTATCCTTAGTTGCATAGCAATTGGGTTATGAGAGACTGGCTAAAAAAATAGCATATTATCTTAAGTCTCTATATTTATGATCATTTGTCACACAGCAATAGGAAAACAACACATTGATCTGGCTATGGTCAGAGTTAAGTCTCTGCACCTCTGAGAGTTGTTCAGGCTGTGCTTCGAGGCCAGAGGTCCCTGTGGTCCCAAAGAAGCCCAGTGACACTTGTGAAGGATAACTCACCCTGGCCCGGGATGATGGTGAGATGTAATAATGGCTCTCAGAGTCCCCGAGGCGGATTCGGTGGTGACAGGTACGGGCCAATCCACTCAGGGCACACGTGCTGGAGAGAACAGAGGAAGTGGAAGGCACTGAATGAGGCTCAAAGAGGCAGGAAACATGTGCTAGCTAGAAGATACATGGAGACTTAGCCCAGGAAGCAGGTGGGAAGTAGGGCCTGACTTCCCCTTCCTTCCTCTCCCAGCTTCCAAAGGACCCCAGGGCCAAACAAATCAGTGGGATGGGGTGAGAGTCCTCAGGAAAGACCTTAAGTGCAGCTGGATCCAGGCCCACTCCCCACGCCCCTTCCACTCTGTTCCTTTTCCCACACAAGCAGAGGAGCTCAGTCAATTTCATGTCATAGCAAACATAACAAAGTCACCCTCTGCAGCCTCTAAAACTGCCCCCCCCCAATTACTGGGGACTTTACTTCCAATCACCTCTTTCCCTAACTGAATTCTGTCCTGACTGCCTCCCACTTCCCACATAGGGGGTTTTCATTTAGCCCTGTGTGGTCCCCTGCTCACCAGGCCTCACTAAGAACCCCCTCCCGCAGCAGGGCGTTGGTAGCACAGGCCTTTAATCCCAGCACTTGGGAGGCAGAGGCAGGTGGATCTCTGTGAGTCTGAGACCGGTCTGGTCTACAAGAGCTAGTTCCAGGACAGCCTCTAAAGCCACAGAGAAACCCTGTCTCGAAAACCAAAAAAGAATGTATTTGGGCTGGAGAGATGGCTCAGAGGTTAAGAGCACTGGCTGCTCTTCCAGAGGACCTGAGTTCAATTCCCAGCAACCACATGGTAACTCATCTGTAATGAGATCTGGTGCCCACTTCTGGTGTGTAAGCATGCATGCAGATAACTGTATACATAATAAATAAATAAAATCTTTAATAAGTAAAAAAGAAAAAAAAAGAACCCCCTCCCATGCCACCTCTCTCCTCAGCCATGCCTGGGAAACCCACTTAGCACCTTCAGCTACCCCCCACACACACATATTAGGTTTCCATGGTCCCAACAGCCCATCGTCCAGCCTCCCACTCCCAAATCTCGCTCCTCCACTAGTCCCTGCCTCCACAATGAAGCCTAGAGCATCACCTACTGGGCTCCCTCCCCCCACGCCTGCACTTGGTTGCCATGTCCTCTGCCTACATCATTCTTTTGCTTGGATTCCCTCAGTTCCTTCTACCCACTCTCTACTCTCCTTACCCTTTCTTCTCTGTGTTACAGCCATGACTAACTCATCATCTTTCCGGTGGCTTCCCTATTGCCCAGGAAATACAGAATCGCAAGTAAAGGGCAGTTGATAGTGTTTGTTGCCTCTTCCTTCACTGTGAGGCTGAGCCTTCACTAAAAATTCACCAGAGAACTTTCTTTTAGGGTAACACACACTGATGACCCCAAAACTCTTAGCCTAGTGAGTTAGTGTCTAACTGTCCAAAACTCTGACCTAAACAACCCCCTGAGACTCTCAGTCCCAGCTCCCCACTCCCTGGCTATGTCCTGGCTCTGAGGTGTTTACACTCCAGCTTCCCTGGCCTTCATTCATTCCATTCCCTCTGCCTGTAAAGCTGGCTCAGATGTTCCCTCTGTGAGCCAGGCTTCTCTTGTGGGCCCAGCCCCACCAGTACAGCTCTGCAGGTAAGCTGCTAGGGCAGTAATTTATTGGCAGGAGATAGAGCCAGATGCTAGCAATCACTTATATGCCAATCAGAGCCCAGGATCTCTGTGGGACAGAAGAGGAGAGAGAGGAAGTACAGATGGTGCCAGCCAGAAGAGACACCACAGCTAGCAGCAGGAATTTTTGTAAAAAGTACTTCCTGGTCCTAAATGGGGACAGTGATGACTTTTTCTCTCTTGTGGTTTATTGTTCTCACATTTTAAAAAAAAAAGATATATTTATTTATTATATATACAGTGTTCTGCCTGCATGTATGCCTACACACCATAAGAGGGCACTAGATCTTATTATAGATGGTTGTGGATCACCATGTGCTGGGAATTGAACTCAGGACCTCTAAAAGAGCAGACAGTGCTCTTAACCTCTGAGCCATCTCTCCAGCCCCTGTTTTCACTTTTTAAAAGCAGAGTTTTGTGTATCCCAGGCTTGTCTTGAACTTGATAAGAAGCAGCCAAGAATGATCTTTGACCTCTGATCTTCCTGCCTCTACCTCCCAAGTGCTGGGATGCTGCCATGCTTGATTTTGCAAGGTGCTGGGGATGGAGTCCACGCCTTTGTACATGCTAGTCAAGGACTTACTAAGCTATAACCCCAGACCCATGTCCATCTCATGGGAGTCCGTAGGCTAAGTCATAAACTATAGAAGACAGTCACCCTGAATGTTACTGTCCCTACTCATCTATATCCCATGAGACCCAAGACCGAGGCTCCTATCCCATTTCCCCAGAGTGCTGCCTGAGGCTCCATTTTGGACCTCCCCACATGGGCAGGAACATGCCCAGGGTACTAAGCTTACTTGATGTTGTTACATTCAACAGTGGGCACCTTCACAGTGGGCAGAGTCTGTGAAGCCACAGGCTCGATGGTGAGTGTGTTGTCCTCCACAGCAGCCCGCACCAGAGCTGAGAGCTATAGCAGACCAGGGTAGAGCAGTGAGAAGCTGGGTGACTGGGAACAAATGAGCTTGGTCCCCCAGATAGCCACCCTTGACCCCCTTAACCCCCCTCACCTCCTGCACTGTGAAGTCAAGGCAAGGGCCCACATCCTCCCGGTACACCCTTTCTAGGAAGGGGCAGTCCTTATCCAGGGTAGGTGATGCCCTCCAAGCCTGGAACTCTGAAAACAGGGTCGTATCCACCTGCAGGGGAGGGGAGCCGAGTGGGGGCAGTCAGGGATGAGGGTGAGCACCTCAGAGATGGCAAAGCTGATGGAGAGGAGAGCAGGGAAATGCAGGAGGGCTCAGTAGACCATCAGGCCTGTCCCCAGAGCCAAGCAGGGGAGCAGAGTCCAGGGGAAGAGGAGGTCCTGTCTGCCCTTTGCACCAAAGAATTTAGAACAACACAGTTTGTGTCTGGGTGTACATTAAGTTTCTTGGCACTGCAAAATTACAGACATGGATCCAGGGCCTTGGCCTGAATGCTGCTACTGAGTCCTTTTGGAAAAAATATCAAGAGCAAGCCTGTAAGAACCTGTGGGTCCCCGGAACCCACAGGTCTCTTCGTCTAGAATGCACATATATGTACATGCACACAGGAGAGAACATTTCACAGGTTTCCCTGCTGCCCACTGGAGGGGGCAATGATGGCCTGCCCTGGGCTGCATGCACAATGAGTGACGCCCAGAGGGGAGAGGAGGAGTGACCCCTAAATGAGCCATTACCTGTCGGGAAAAGGAGAGAGAGGTAGCAGAGTTGGGGGCCGTGGGGGGCTCCCCAGATGGGAACTGCCAGGTAGGCTCGTAGGTGAGGTGGATGGCCTTGCTGGGGATCACGCACAGGAGCAGGGAGAGTAGAGGGGGCAGCCCAGGCTGGGCCAGGGGATGGGTGGACAGATGGACAGACAGACAGACAGACAGACAGACAGACAGACAGACAGAGACAGACAGGAGGAAGGAGGAGATGTCAGTGTCCAGTGGGAAGCTCAGTGCTCAGAAGGGGACCGAGAGAGCTTTGCTTGCACCTTCTAAAATCTCAGGAAGCAGATGAAGAGAGTTCTGAGCTTGGACAGGCTTGAGCAAGAGCCCCAGGAAGCTGGATCTCATCCCATGTTTCCCCAGTGTTCACCAAATACTGCCTGAACTGCCTTTTTTGTGTCCTCACAGTTCCTCCCCTGGAGGAGGGGGTACATGTGGCATGTGAAATAATGGAAGTGCTAACAGCTACCCAAGGACTGGTCATGTCAGTCCAGTCTGGACCAAGCCTCCCTCCCCCTTTTCCTTGCTGAGGCAGGAGAGAGATGCTTTTCTAAGGTCATGCTTGCTTCAGCACCACAGCCAGAGTGCTAAGGACCCAAGAGTACTTAAGTACAGGGTGGTCTTAGACCTCAAGACTGTAGCCACAAAACACCAAGTAACCCCTCTCCAGGTATCCAGTGGCACCTGTCTGTCACTCTTAACATAGGAAATGTATCTCTGAAGAGGTTTCCTGAGAGAAGACCTTCAGGTTCTAAGATAGCTCAAATTCAGAGATTACCACCTCCTGCTTGGAATCAGAGGAGCCTGCCCAGCCATCACAGTTCAAGGGACCCTGAAGCCCAGAGAAGGGAGAGACAGGTGGTAAGTCCCACAGGAGAGGGCAGGCTGGCTCTTCCAGGATGCTCACTTGGCTTGTCAAACAGGATTACCCCTCCCAGTTGTGAGCCCACTATAGCCTGTGCCTCACCTCCTTGCCATCTTTGTCTGGGGTGGGGATATGCCCTGCTGTGGGGCACACAACTGGGCAGAGGGAACTGCTGGTACTCTTATGGCGTGAGTGGCCCTTTCGGGGTCCGGCCTTGGTGGGGCTCAGCAGCTGTGGGTGGAGCTCACGGTTGGGAGAGGCTGGTGTGGACGTGATGACCAGTGTCTTCAAGGCTGTCACCTCTGCCTGCAGCATGTCAATCTGGCCCAGACAAGATGACCATCAACCCCAACATGGGTTAATGTCATCATGGCTACCATGGCCTGTCAGCCAAGCAGCCCCAGCAGTAACTAATGCCTCCCCCACCCTTTGAACAACCTCTATTCTGTAGATAGGGAAACAGAGGCTGAGAGGAGACACGACCTCAGATCACATCAGAGACTCTGCTGCAGGAGTTCTCTGGGAACTTCTTGGATCTCCTCCTTAATATTCAGGGATCTCCAGAAGCAAGAATAGCCCAAGCTTCACATTTACTGATTGGCAAGAACTCTAGAAAGGAAGCTGCTTGCCTGTGCTACAGCCACAACCCACATTGCTGCATTGAAGCCAGGAGGAGAACCTGTAATAACCACTGGGTCCTCCTGGACTACAGAGGGGCCAAAAAAAAAAAAGTCTCCAAGGCACTGATGGAGTTGGAGGGCCCTGCACTACTTAATTTCAGACCCACCCTGCCTGTTCCCAGACCTGGGTTCTCTTGTTCCTGATGCCTGTGAGGGTCCGTGAGAGCCCTGTTGCATGCCCTTGCTAGTTGAGGGCAGTACACCCCATCAAGGGCTGTGATGGAAGCGTTGAGCTGGCCTAGGCACACAGGGATGGATCTCACCTTGCCCCAAGCCTCCTTCAACTGCTTCTCCGATGCAGCCTGCTTCATGTTGGCTTCCCGAACCATCTTGTGAGCTTCCTAGAAGAGGGGACACCTCTGCATGAGTGGTCAGAAGACACCAGACACCTCGACCACCCCTCCCCGGGCTGCCCAGCGAACCTGGAACAGGCTGGCCGTCAGTTCCTCCAGCTCCTGCTCCAGCTGTGCACGCACCTTGCAAAGCCGCTCACACTCCTCATCCTTCAGCTTCAGCTCCTGGGTGCAGGCAGGAGGCAGTCAGCCTGCCCTAGCCAGGCTCCATCTCCCCAGCCTGGTGTGAAGCTTTAGACCACCAGTTCACTTCACAGGAATCTGACAGTCTGTGGTTCTCTAGCCCACGCACAAGATTAAAACCCTAGCCCAGCAGCCCAGCAGCCCAGCAGAGCTGGAAGCAGATTTCCAAATGCAACAAGATGTGTGAAAACATTTAAGACTTCTGAGACTTCAGTGGCAGAATGCGTGCTTAGCACGCTTGAAGCCCCAGTATAAACCAGCCTTTTCCTTTGAGTTCCCAGGACTCCAGTATGGGCCTGGCATGTAGCCTAGGCAAGTGGTGACCCCCTCTCCCTTCCACAGCTACCTGGGCTCACTCAGTCCGGCTGCTCTTCTCATCCCCCCACCCTACCCTGAGCACCCACCTTCTGGGCTTTGTATAGTTCCTCCTTCAGGAACTCTGATCCCTTCTCTCGGATCTCCATGGAGGAGCTGCGCAGGCGTGACACGTCCAGTGGAGCAGCTGCTGAGTGTTCTTCACCCTGGGCCTCCTTCCGGGAAGCAGGGTTTTCCACCAGGCTTCCTGGGGACTCCCTGTGACCTTTGCTGGGGCCAAGGTTTTTCCAGGGGACTGAGACAGCCGAGAGGCCCGTGGGGAGGCCCTCATCTGGTTGGGGTGGGCTGCACGGCAAACAAGGGCATCAGCACACACAGGATGTGAACTCAAGACCTGTAGAGCTGAGCGCAGGGACCAACCCTAGGCCACATACCTGTCACCTGAGCCTCAGTCTGTCCATTTGTAAAATGGAGGCACTACAAGCTGTAACCAGAATGTCACAAGGGCAGAATGACCAAACTCTCTTAGGGGCCAAGGCAGGACTCAAGCACTTTTGCTATCCACCATCCCCAACCTAGGGATGTAGCACGTGGCCAGCACTAAGTCCAAACTCAATTCACATTTGTTAAGCAGAAAGATGAATATAAATTCATCAATGCTTAGGATGAGTCTCTACTCTTACACTATAGGTAGAGATTGTCCCAATGATTGTCATTCCCAAGAGTTGAAGGGGATGGGCAGAAAACCTGGACATGGAAGATCCAGCTAAGTGGGAGCCTTCATCAACATAGTTAAAACAAACTGAACTTTATCAATGACATGGCATCGTTATTGGAAATGTCAATATGATAGACATTCACAAAGGTGGACCAGAGAGGAAGCACCAGGCCTCGGCAGGCAGGAAGATTCTACAAATAGCCCAGGCACAACAGACCCACTTCCTGCCACCCCTGGATTTTGTGAGAAAAATCCAGCTCCCCTTGGCCTTCAAACAAGCATCCCCTCCTCTAGAAGCCTCAAAACCCTCGACTTGCTGAAGCCGAAGCCTTAGAAACACTGGGGCTCTACCCTTACCCAGCCCCCACCTCCAAGCTACAGTACCCCCCTAGTAAGCAGATCCTGGAGAGGGAAGAGAGGAAGGTCTGGCCAGTGGCCTTTGTGCCGAGACAGCACCTCTAGATTCGCTTGCTCAGCAAAATCTGGGGCTCCTGAGCCAGCAGCCTCAGGGAAGCAGTGGCTTGGCGGGTTTGGGGGGGGGGGGCTGTGCTGACTGATAACAGAGGGAAGTGAGGGGGAGGGGCTCTGCCAAGCCTGCACTGGAAAGATACAAGGCCAAATGAAAGGAAATGCTAGCGGCTATCCCTCTCTCCTTCCTCAAGCCCATCAGAAATTCACCATAGAACCCCTGAGCCTCAGTTTCCCTGAGTAACACAAAGAAAGTGAGATTTCAGAGACCACAGCAGTGGGTCCACTGCCCTGCCCAGCCTTCTCCCTGCCCTGGAATTGGCCCAACATGTGGCCTTGAGGCTCCTGGAATTAGGCCCTGCTTGGCAGGGATGTGGCCTCAGTGAATATAAGGACAGAGAGTCACCATTCCACCTGCCTGTGGGGCAGACAGATTTTCCCAATACCGTGGGGGGGGGGCAGGTCTTGTTGACACAGGGTCCTAGAGGCCTGAGGCCCCTAACAGTGCTGTGGCAGCTGTATGGGATGAGAACTCTGCCCGGGGACTGAGAGTTTTGTCTGTGTGTCAGTGTCTGTGTGCTTGTGATGGTACATGCATGTATGTACATGGATGTGAAGGACAGAGGTCAACCTTGGATGTTACCCCTCTGGAGGTATCAAAAGGTCTCTTACTGGGTTCTGGGGTTTTCTGATTGCTTAGGCTGGACAGGGACCTCTGTTTCCCCACGACTATGATTACAAGAGTGTGCCACCATGCCTGGCTCAAACTCAGGTCCTCATGCTTGCAGAGCAAGCACTTTACCAACTAAGTCAACTCCCCAGCCCCAGTGTGTGTGTGTGTATGTGTGTGTGTGTGTGTGTGTGTGTGTGTGTGGTGTGGGGATGTGTGTTTGTATGTGTGTGTATGTGGTGTGGGGGGGTGTGGGGAATGTGGGGGTGTCTGTGTGGCTGTGTGTGTGTGTGGTGTGTGTGTCTATGTGTCTGTGTGTATGTATGTGTGTGGTATGTGTCTGTGTGTATATGTGTGTGGTGTATGTGTGTGGTGTGTGGGTGTGGTGTGTGGGTGGGGGGTGTCTGTGTATGTATGTGGTGTGTGAGTATATTGTGTATATATGTGTGTGGTATGTGTGATGTGTGTGGTGTATGTGTGTAGTATGTGTGGTGTGTGTGTATGTGTGTGTAATATGTGTGTGTGGTGTGTTTGTGTATGTGTGTGTCTGTGTTTAAGGTTTATTTGTATTCATGTGCACATGTATGCCTCTGCCTATGTATGTCATGTGTGTTGATACTCACAGGGGCCAGAAGAAAGCATCAGATCACCTGAAGCTATAGTAACAAGCAGCTGTGAGATGCCTGATGTTAGTGCTGGGAACTTGGATCCTCTAGTAGAACCACTGAGCTCTCACTAATCCCACACTTTGCTTTAAATACACTTTACATAGCAATTGTAGTCTTTTCCCATTGCTACAGATAGGAATATGAGCTCAGAGAGAAGAGAGGGACTTCTATGGGGGCCCCCAGCAGGTGAGGGGTAGTGTGGAGACAGCAAGCAAGATCTTCAGCCACTGGCCCCAGCTTCTGGCCAAGTGGTCTGGTATGAAGTAAGTATTGCGGTCATCACATCTGCTTCATGATCAAGGGCTTCTGGGCCCAGGGAAATGCAGTAGGCTTTTTATGAGTTACAGCAGGGAAGCCTTACCCAGTCCCAGCTCAAACTAGCTTATTAGACCCTTGCTCCAGCCCAGAAAACATCCTGACTAGAGTGATGGCCTAGGGAGGGAATGAAGGGGACTGTGGTTAAGATCACAGCCAGGCTTTGCCCTGGGAATGTCTGAAGTTCCTGGAATCTACTTTCCCCATAGATGGACAGAGAAAGCATCAAGAGAGGGATGCTATCAGAATCAAATAGGAAGTTACTTGTTACAGCGCTACAGGTGACTAGGGATCAACCTTTACTTGGCAAAGATTCCTGTAATGCTTGGCCTGACTCTGGCCCTGCAGCTGAACCTACAGCCACTCTATCCCATGGGAGTAGAAAGTTGTCTCCTGGAGATCGGGGCCCAACTCCACCTTCTCGAGTGGGAAATGACAGTCACACCCAGCTTCATTCAGCAGTGTGGCCTGGACCACACACAGGTAGGGTCTGGGGTGGGAGTGGGGGTCAGGCTGAAGAAATACCACCATTCCGCCAGCTGTCTCTGACTTCAGTTCACTTCCAGGGGGATGGGACCCTATTTTATAGCCATAAAACAATCTAGGAGGCCCGAGGCAGGGTCTCTGTGGCATCCTTCCTACTCGTAGAAAAGGCCAATGCTCAAATGTTGAAAAGTAGGAAGCAAGAGAAGGGCAGGAGGGGAAGAAGGCACAGCAAGTGTGTGGTGGACACTCCAGTCTGCAGATTCCTTCCTTCTCACTTCCCAGCTTCAAGGCTAGTTCTGGTGATTCATGAAATTCAGAGGAAGAAGGAAAGGGTTCTACAGTCAAACTGAGCCAGGCTCTGGGACTGCCCACACACTTCAACCACCATGTCATCCCCTCAGGTCTCCAGTAGGTCATATCCACCATCCCTGACCTCCTCAGTCTAGGTTCTTGGGAATACAGCCTTGTCGGTCCAAGCTCTGTGGAAATACAGCCTTCTGTAAGGCCTACTATGGGATGGGAATGAATCTTCTAGGGATGACAGATACTAAGAGTCAAGGTCAGAGTTGGATGTGGTGGTACAAGCAGGTCTCCGTGAGTTTGAGGCCAGCCAGATCTACAGATCGAGTTCCAGGACAGCCAGGGCTGTTACACAAAGAAACCCTGCCTCAAAAACAAAAACAAAAACAAAGCAAAACAGAGTCAAAGTCAGAGGCAAATGGGGTGGCCAGCATGACCCATCCTGAAGCTGGATTAGGAGCCTAGGGCCCCCACATACAGGAAGTGCTCTCCTGGGTCACTTCCCCAGGAAATATAACGCAGTGGCTGCAGCCCTCAGTCCACCAGGCCTGTCCTAAACAGGCAGCGGGGATTTTTGTCCCTATCCTCAAAGCATAACTGAAGGAGAACTCCTGAACTCTGTAGCCTGTTAGTCACTCAGACACTAGAAATCCCTCTTGGGTCAGGAGCTCCTGGCCAGAGCTAAACAGGATTCCTCGAAGCCCTTTGAGCGTCTACCTCTCCCAGCCTGGATAAACCAGCCTGCTCCGGGCTCTTTAGCAAGTGGGCATGGCCCTCTGCAGCTCTTTCTCCAGTTAAGAATCCCTTCTCTCTTCCAGGCCACAATGGTTTCACTAAATAAACAGCAGAGGGGGCCCTGAGCGCAACTCTGGAACCAGGGAAGGACGGGACTGGGAGCACACTTCCTATTATGCCCGAAGAAGTACTGGAGCAGGATTCAGACTCATTCAGAAGACTAAGAATGACAGACATATGACATTCACGTAGCAGCAACAAGATGCCAGGAAAGGTTTTGTGGCTCTCTGTAAGCCCAGCAAACAGTCTAAGTCTCTTCAGGCCCAAATCAACAAGAACATAGGGTTTCCAGGTTCCTGGTTCAGGTTCAGGTCAGCCCACCGCTTCAACCACCATGGGTGTCGTGATAGCACTGTAGTGAGAGGGACTCCACAGTCTAATCTTAATGATACAGTAACCAAGCATGAGACAAGGTTGGTGGCCTAGCTTGGAATACATAGTGAAGAGGTGGTAGGATGGGAACTGACCCCAGACTGCAGGCACAGCACAAACAGCATGTGACTTGCTCCTCACAAGCAGGAATGAATGGAGGTTTCAGAGAAGTGAGGCAGGATGCAGATGGGGTTTGAGGAAGCTCAAGTAAGGGTGGAGTGGTGAAGCGAGATGCCTAGGGCCGCCTTGCCTGCCAGGCAGGAATGAGCTGAGCGGGGCACACAAAGCATTGTAGGGGGTCAATGGGCATGGGCGGGGGTGGGGCAGGACTTGGGTAGGAGGGTAGGTAAAATATGCAGCACAGTAATTGATTAACTAAGCTAATTTAAAACCAAAGGAAAGCTAAATGAGAATAGTGGAATGGGAATGAGGAAGTGGGGGGGGGGGTCTTCAGGGAAGCGAAAGGGGGTGGCTCAGGCTTTTGGGAACTACAGGGTGCTGTGGGTGGCTCATGGGAAAAGGCAGGACAGTGGCAGCTGTTGGGAGGTCCCTGGGGAACAGCCAGCACCTGGGCCTGGGCTTAGGGATAGCAGAGGGGGCACCCTGAGAATCAGAGATACATCTTGTCTCTCTGGTGCTAAGGATCTGGAGTTGGTCGGAATCTAGCGACCCAAAGCAAAAAGGCACAAGGGACAAGCAGAGACAGGATAGGCCTAGGCCACTGCTGGAGGGGAGTGGGGCAGACTAGGGGGGGGTGTCAAGACAAGCAGCAGGCCCTAGTGGGAGGAAGAGATCAAGAGACTAAGTAGGCAGCCAGGCCAGATTCTTCCTGCTACTGCCCCTAGGCCAAGCTAGGACAGCCTAAGAGGGGACTCAACCCTCTGCCTCCCCACCAAGAGCCAGGCCAGGTCTGGATAAATGAGGGTTACATGTTCTGCTTGTATAGGCTTCTGGGGGTGTTTCCTGTACATTTAGTTCAGATTTTACCCATGCACACACACACACACCCCTAAGACCTCTGACATATAGCATGGACCTAGTGCCTACAGTGCCAGCTTCTACACCCTGATCCTTCAATAGCTACAAGAAAGCTCCCAGGAGCTACCATGGCATCCCCTTCTCCCTACCTTTTTCACTTTGTTCCTTCCCCTCCTGATTCCCCAACGTTTACTGAGCATATATCCAGTGCTGAGGCCCAGCAGTGCTCTACTGTGGGTCTTATCTGATCCTGAACACAAATGTGCTGGGCAAGGAACAGCAGGCAAGATACTTCCATCTGTTGAAAGGCCAGGGTGGGTGGAGAGATCCTGGCTGCACAAGTCCTTCCCAGAGGGAAGGCCTAGTTGCCTGACCTGGAGCTCTCAGTCCCCTGTGACTTAGGTCTTAGGACAGGAGTCCTTAGAGCAATGAAGTGACTTGCTGAAGACTGCAGAGCCTAGGCCAGGCAGTCTTTGGCACACACCTTTGATCCCAGCACTTTGGGGCAGAGGTAGGCGGATCTCTGTGAGTTCAAGACCAGCCTGGTTTACAGAGTAAGTTCAAGGACAGGCTCCAAAGCTACACAGAGAAACCCTATCCCAAAACAAAACAAAGCAAGATTTCAGAGCCTAGAGACCTGCAATTCTGGAACTCCCTAGTCACTGGCCTGGGGCAAAGGCATGGCTCTTGACACCTAGAAGGCTGGGCCAACTTTTTTTCTCAGCAGTCCATCAGTAGTCCTCCCTAGAGATGGGTCTAATTAGTCCCATCCAGTGAGTGGGGAATCTGACACCAGAGGGTCACACCAATGTTATATGGCTGCTCAGTGCTACTAAACCCAGACTCTGGACTCTGATGAACAAACGTAAAGTGTCCAGGACTGTGTTAGGTGCAGAAATTTCAAAGTATCATCCTCACTTCATCATCTAGAGTAGGCTTGGCCCCCAAGACCACAGGCCTATGAAGCTACAGGAAATGGAGAAGCCCATTATTGGGTGGGTGTGGGGGGTGGAGGATCAGTCCCTTAAAGTGAGTTAGACAGTAGGCATAGCAGTGCAGCACCAAGGAGGCTAAGGCAAAAGGATCAAGAATTCTAGGCCAGGGCCAGTGAGATGGCTAAATGAGGAAGGGGGCTTGCTATATAAGTATGGGTCCTTAGTTCATTTCCTAGAGCCCATGTAAAAGTAGGAGAGTACTAACATCATAAAGTTGTTCTGTGACCTCAACATGTATGTGGTGACATTTTACACACACACCCTGCATACTAATAAAATTTTATCTAAAAGAATTCTGGGTCAGTTCTGGGTCACATAGGTGGCAAGAACCTGCATCCAAAAACAAAGCAACACAAAGTGAGACTGAGGCTGGAGCTACAGCTCAGTTAGTGAAGCCCAGCACACACAAAGCTTGAGATTCCAAGCCCAGCACTGCATAAACCAGACCTTGTGTCGCATGCCTGAATCCCAGTCCTTGGGAAATGGAGAGAGGTGGCCATCCTTGACTATACAGGGAATTTGAGGCCAACCTATGCCACCTGAGGCTTATGCTCTGGAATCCTAAGAAGGATCTCTACTCCTGGCTCCTACAGAGTCCAGTCACGTCTGTTCATCCCCATTTAGGACCCTGCCATTAACAAATACCCAAGAGTGATAGCTTGGTTCATCTTACAGCAGGAAGCTAAGCCCTAGAAACCCTGGATTTGCTTGCTGCATTAGCATGAGGACCTGGGTTCAGTTCCCAGATGGCCATATGTACCTGCAAGCTCAGCACCGTGAGGGGACACAGCACCATAAGAATCTCCAGGGTATACTAGCCACCAGCGTAGCTGAAAAACAAGTTCCAGGTTCAGTGAGAGACTCCTAACTCAAGGGAATACAGTGGAGAGAGACAAGACACATGGCATCCCCTCTGACCCCCATGTACGTGCACACACACACACACACACACACACACACACAGAGAGAGAGAGAGAGCTACAGCTCGCCCCAGCCCAGAGGAGGGGACCTGCACCCTTCGGGTCTTACAGAAATTGCCTCAGCCCACCCAGCATAAAGGCTCACAACTTCCTTCAGACCAGGCTGCTCCTCAAACACACAGCCCTGGGCAAATCAAACAAATGCATCCTCAAGCAGGATTGCCTCAACCTCTGCAGGCACCAAGAACTCACCCCAAACACTTTCCAAGCCTAGCTAGTCTCTCTTCCTGGAGTGAAATTCCAACACACACAGGCTGGCTTCTGCTCCCTCTAAAAGATCCAAGCCTGTCCACACCTCACATGAGCTGGGTTTGGTATCCTGGCTGGAGTGGAAGTCCCGTTTCTTTCCTAGCCCTTCAGGTCATGCTCAGTTGGGGCCCATAAGAGTAAATAGATCTCACCTGTTCCCCTCCCCAGGGGCCCCTTTGTCCTTCTTCTTATCCTGGGACAGTTCTTAGTAGGAACAGCTCCCACCCCCACCCCAAGACCTAGTCTTTCCAGGGGAGGGAGAAGGTATTTGCCTACATTCAAGAAAGGACATCAGCCTTGTGAACATGGGGCAGGATCTCCTATTAGACTGACCACGAACAGTTATCAGCCTTAAGGACCAATGGCCCTAACAGATGTGAATGGGGATGAAGGATGTGGAGAGGGCTCACCCAAGTCTCAGGATCTGTGCTGTTCCGCTCCATTCTGCGGGTCAGCACAAACCCATCCCAAATCTGAAGGTTTCAGTGAACTGACCAGGGACCTTGGAGAGACACAGCTAGCTTTCTCAATTGCACTGCTTTCCCAGAGTTCATGGGTGTTCCCTCCTTCAAATGCGTGCCCCAGATTTACTTTGGGATATACATACTACCACTTATTCCTCACCCCACCCCCCACTTCTCTCATGCGCTCCATTGGAGCTAGGAGGAGTTGGCCCTGTCACCTTCCCACCCTGGGGCAACTAAAATCGGTCCCGTCAGGATCCTTTCAGCGCTCGGGCAGCAGCGTGTCCTCACAGTACAATACACCCCTCCGCTGCAGGCAGGGCTGGGAGTACAGATCATCTCCCAAGTGGGGTGCAAACAACAGCAGTGCCCCCTGTTCTCCCACCCTAGGCGGCCAGCGCGGCCCAGACCGAGCGCAGCGCCACTGGCATGCGGGGACCTACCCGCTCCACATCCCGGCGCCCCCGCTCTCTGCGTTGCCGCAGCCGCGTCCACGCGCACAGCCAACTCTGCCCGGGCACCAGAGCTGCCCTGCAGCCTGTCAATCGCTCCCCCGCCGGTCTGTCCCGCTGGCCGCCAAGGTTCGCGGCTCCGCCCCACCCCAGCCCTTCCCCTGCCCTGGGCGGGTCACGTGCCCGAGAGGCGGCCCCAGGCCACGTGCCCGGCCCCGCCCCTCTTCCAGCCCAGCCCTGTCCCTCTAACTGCGTGGGGACGGTGATCCCGCTGAGTGAGGGCAGAACTGGCCCGTCATCTCTCAGTCAGAGTTGGCCTTGGCCTTTCCCACTCACTCTGTGCCTCTCACTTCTGGACCACCCTTGCTTGAGAACCTACAATGGCTCCCGAGGGTCTCAGCTATGATTCTCCCGCAGATTGTCACTCCAAGCGGCCAGACACCTCCTACACACTCAGACTTCTAGCCGTGTTACCAGACTCTGAAGCTCAGAGCTCTGCATCAGTCCCTGGACTTCTGGGAATGGAGTGGGGGAGACCCCAAACTAGTCCCATTCGTTGAAGAGTTAACCCAAGAGAGCACTACTTTGGCTCAACTTACCAATTCTGTTTTCCAGGGCCCTCCCCATGTACCTCTGAACATTGTTCATCCCAGTCTTTCCAGCTAGCTCTCCTCCAACCTCACAAACACCTGTCAATCCCAGGTATTTAAAAACAGAGCTGAGCCGGGCATTGGTGGCGCACGCCTTTAATCTCAGCACTCCGGAGGCAGAGGCAGGGGGATCTCTATGAGTGCAAGGCCAGCCTGGTCTACAGAGCGAGTGCCAGGATAGGCTCCAAAGCTACACAGACAAAGCCTGTCTCGAAAAACCAATAAATAAATAAATAAATAAATAAATAAATAAATAAATAAATAAATAAATAAAAGCAGATCTGTAAAAAACGAATACCTGGCCACTGGTCACCTGTCCCTCAGTTTCTCTGGCCTGCCTTTATCCTGGCCCTGATCACTACCCTGAATGAGGTTTAGCCTCTGTTCATGATGGATACAATGAGTAGAGCCCATAGCCAATCCCTCCTGTAGTGCTGCTAGGACCAGCTCCCACAGGCTGGGTCTACAGAACTCTCTGGGCTTCTGAGAGAGAACACAATCTCAATTCATCCATCCACACAAAGAGACATTCTGCTGCCCCTTCTGAGCTATCTAAGGACCATGCAATAGCAGGAGACCCTCTAGGCTGGAACCCCTCCCTCCCTCCTCCTCTCCCTCTCCCTTAATCCCCTCTTCTCAGTGGGTGTGAGTCATATATTACCTAGGCTGATCTCCAGCTTCTGGACTGCAATGATCCTCCCTCAACTTCCTCAGTGGCTGTGACCACAGGTATGTACCACCATGCTTGACTTATGGAATCCAGTATGGTGGATCATAGGTGAGAGACCTGCTTTCAAGGGCCTCTACTGCCAGAGCCTCAACTTGCCTAGGACCCATCTTCACCAACACAGTGTCACCTTTCAAAACAAAAACAAGTTTAGGCTGGAGAGGTGACTCAGCCAGTAAGGGCATGCATTGCTTTTGCAGAGGACCCAAGTTTGGTTCCCAGTACCCACATTAGGCAATTGATGACCTCCTCTGACTCCAGGTCTGGGGGACCCTAAGCCCTCTTCTGGTCCTAAGGGCACCTGCATGAATGTACACAACCCACACATGGACATATACACATGTAAATATTTTTTAAATAGAAAAGAGTGCTCCTTTCCCAGCTTATAGGAACAAGCACTTGGTGAGTGAAGCCAGGCTGGAATCCGTGTCTTTTCCCATGGCTAGCATCTTATGGCGTGAAGAACCAGGACAGCCCTCCAAAGCATCCTTCTCACCTTGAAGGACTCTCAGTCCAGGTCTCTTGTGTCCTTCACTCTCTATGGGGTGGCTATCAGGCTATGGCATCTCCTGGGTAAGGACCAACCCTTTCTTGGAGCTAAATTCCTCCACCCAGCCCGGCCCAGTTTAGGGGCTGGCCCAAAGCAGATGTCAACATTTTGTTGTTGACTTGAACCCTTCACCAGCTAAGCCTTGAGCAAATGCTGTTTTCCTGCTCCTTGTTCTGGTCATTATCCAGGGGGGGAAAGGAAAAGAAGACAAAAAAAGAGTCCAGGACAGGGTCCTTGCCTTCCAACCCTTTAAAAGCCAGGGCAAAGATAAATTATGGCAGTGGGATTAGTGAGAGATAAAGGGGAGGAGGTGTCAGCAAAGGTCTACAGTGCAGGAGAGAGAGGCCTCACCCTGGGAGCCCTTGAGGGAAGCCTCAAAGGACAAGTGTGTGGTCATCACTCTAAGAGCATTGACATGCAATTACTAACCAAAAATATCCTGTCATCTATACATCTAGACTCTGTGAACTCCCAAGCCATACACTTTCCTCCAGGCAGCACAGGGAACCCTTCTGTGCCACTGGAAAGGGATGGACTCAGAGAAGTTAAGGAATCTGCCTGATGTCACACAGCCAGGGGTGGTGAGGTTGAATCACTTTATAGCAGTTTATCCAAGAGACAGCCCAGAACCACTGGTCTTGCTGGAAGCTGCAGCTGGGTACAGACAGCCCTCGGACGGTTGCTGAACATGTACTAGGTGCCTGGCCCAGCCAGTTGGAAGGGAGAATTAAAGATGTGTCTATATCACTAACCACTGAAAGCCTCATCTCCCCCTCCTTCCCACACCACCACCCACTGTCCATTCTCCCCTCCCCAGATCATTACCCTTAGCCACAGACCCTAGGCTGAGGCTGAAGGCACATGAGACTTGGGAGCTAGCTGGGACAGCAGTTAGGTCTGTTTCTAGCTGTGACCTACCATGAGTATCTTGCCCTCTCTGAACTTCAGCTTCTACTTTAGTCTGACCCTCAGGTTGGACCAGACAATCAGGGCTCCTCTCTGAGTGCCCACCCTATAGGAAGCTCCTGAAATTCTTCCTTATTCAAAAATAGCCCATTCTGACCCCCATGTCCCTGCAGAGAAGCAAGACCCATCCCCCCACCTCCTCTCAGTGTCCCAAGACCAGAGCTCACCTGTTTGCATCCCAGGGCTCCTCTCTACAGTTCCTCTCAGGTACAGGACCCAAACCTGATGGGGCATAGCGGACAGTGCCTGAGCTCATGGCCAAGAACACTGGGCATGATCCCCGGGCAGGGCACTGCCTGGGCTCCTCCGAGGCTTCCATGTCTAGGAGCCAGACTGAGGTCCCTTTGGACACCACCAGGAGGGCAAGCAGCGGAGCCTGCCTCTCCAAGCCAGGCAGAGCCTCACACTAACCTTTGCTATCTCTCAAGAGCAGCAGCCCAGTGGCCGGGTGGGGCCTCCCAGACAGGCTTCTATCTTCTTAAACCCTTAATTATTAACTCCTAAGGCTCATCGAGCAGCGGAAGACATGGGCCTCCTTCCTGGGTTGTGGGCTGTGAGCTGGACAAGATTCACCTAGGAGCAGGAGGGAAGCTACTCCCCCAGGCTGATGCCCAGGGCTTCAAATCCCTTAGAGACTGCCTGTTCCCTGTCCTCCCTGGCTGAAACATTGGGCAGAGCCCATCCAACCTGGTTCTATTAGCACTGGTTGCTTATTTGCCTTTGGAGAGCTACTCAGCAGCCCCTTAAGCACTTGAACTACCATCGCTAAAGAGCAATTCAATGTCGTTTCAGCTTCTCTCTGTGCCTCTGTTTCCATAAAATGGATTGTCAGCCTCTAAGGCATATCCAGCCAACTGCCATTGCCTTTTCTTTCCAAACATTGTCCCCCATGTCCCCTCTCTCTTTCTTCTGAGCAGGGTGGTCATAGTAATGCTGGGATTTAGGCCAGAGCCTTGTGCATGCAAGATAAAAACCGATAAAAGATAAAAAAAGCCACACACCCAATCCTTACAATTTACGTCAACTTCCATTCCATTTTGTCCTTTTCAAGATGGAAAAGATTTCTTCCTTGGCTGCGTGACCTTGCACCAGTTGGTTAGCCTCTCTGGGACTAGCCCCTTGTCTATAAAATAGGAACTATTCTTCCCTATGGGAGACAGTAGTAGCCTTCATGGAGGGTCTGCCTTAGTATCACAGGAGCATCCCCTAACTCCCTCCTCCCCTATTTTCACTATTGTCTCTGGTCAGCCTTTAGGTCCTTCTGGGCCCCTCCCCACCAGCGTCACACCCCGCCCAGCCGGCCAGCCAGCGGATAACAGTATCTTTGCTCAGCTTTGGGCTGTAAAGCCTGCTTAGCCTAATGTAAGCCAGATGCTGGCAGAGGGTTTCCTGGCTGTGAATTTTCCATGGCCTGCTCCCACCCCCTTCCTGTTTTTGCTTCTCGCTCATCCCCCTACTAAATTCTCCAGTGCCCCCACCTTCCTCTGCAGGGCAACCAAGGCCTCACCTGGAAACCATTAGCAGAAAACAGGATGTGCAGAAAGGGAGTGTGCATCTCCTACCACCCTGACCCAACCCTGCCTGCACTGGGCCAAAGGTATTTGGGGGGCGACCCAAGGTGAAGAAACTGAGTCAGAGGTGCTGGGGACCTCACAAAGAAACAAGATGCTCTCTGGGCATTTGCTTAGAAGGGAGGGTCTGTGAAATCCTTTGCTGAGCCAGTAAGGGGTTAACCTTGTCCACTTGTAAATCAGGAAACTGAGGCTTGAAGAGTCATCCAGGGTCACTGTCGAATGGGCACCAGGAGACAGTTGGAAATGGGCCAGCTGGCAACAGAGCTGCCATCTAGTCTCTCTGGGGCTGCTTGTTTCATACTCGTCCCTACCTGCCCTCCCCCTATGGCTTGAGGTTGAGCCTGGAGTCTGGTCACGAGGGGATACTCCCAAGGCAAGAGGTAGCTGCCCAGACCTGGCTGGGCAGGCTCTGAGGTAGATGGATCTACTTCTGCAGGAGAGCCACAGGGTGACCTTGGGCAAGCAGGAAAGTGTGAGCAGAGAGGACTGCTTTGTCTGTCTTCCTTGTGAGCCTTTCTACGCAGCAAGGGTTTGAACACACACCCCACCAGGTCCCTCTACTCCCCCAGCAAGGTCTCCCTTATTTCCATGAAAACAACGCAACCTCTGGGCTCCTGAAACCTCCTCTGGCTGCCCCTCCCTCCACCAGCTGTGCAGTGTTTGGACAA